GGAAAGAGGTTCCCCACTAAAAAATCCTAGGGGTTCCTCCTTCCGTATTACAACCACACAAAAAAAAAGAGCAAAAAGAAATCATTCCCAAAATTACATGTATCGAAACAAAATGTATACCAATCCAAAGAAGTATACCCCATATAAACATGTAAAAACGGTGCAACATTAGGTGTGAGAGTTGTAAAGCCAAAATTTCTTCATGCAAAGTGGCTGGAGTTCGAATCAAGAGCATCAAAAGATCAAGGTAACTGCAGCTCAAATCTTGTGAGAAAGACTTGTCAAGAAAATCAAAAACAACATGGTGGCAGATCAATAAGGTAGTTAACCATAAAGGCCATGTTTTATATCTGCTGTAGGGAATGTGAAAACTGAGGCATCCCAGATACCAAAAGATATTTAAGTCATATTTCTTGAAAGGCAGTGCAAGGAAAATAAGTAAAAAGAGCCATAGGCCTCCAACCGAAGAAAAAATTGTAGCACTTGAAATTCTGGAGCCATGGGCCTCCAAAAATTGGTTGGGGGTTCTATGGTAAAGGGTGCAACCAGTGATCATACAGATTATAGGCAAAAAGACTAAAATTTTACCAAATCCCAAAATGAAATCTGTCCTTGCTAGCTAACAAAAAAAGCTTAGGTAGGGACACAATAAATAGGCCAGAACAACCCCGTCAATGCCTAGAAAATATCAACAAAGAGGCCACCGCATGCACCTCTTTAGACAACCAAATTATGTAGCCTATATTAAGGCTAATAGACTGATTATATGAAACACAGTAAAAAGGAGAATTCTCAAGCTTCTAGATCGAAAAAAAGATGCTCAAAGTGTTCCCATCTTGATAATTTCTTAAGGCAATAGTAGCCCTGTCAAGGCTAAACATGAACAACATAAGGTTTCCCATAGTGCACCAACTGTAAAGAGATAAAAGAAGCTTAAATAAAGCAATGTAAAGTATTTGAAATCTCTGGAACACCATCCAAAGGTTCCCAATCCTCAAGAAATTAAAGTAATAACAATGAATACAGCTTGGGCAGAGAAACCTTTTGAAAAAACTTCAGCACCCACAGAAACCAAAAGCCAAATGCCAATCCTACAGAAGAAAAAGGTAATCTTTTTCAAATAATAACCTGAAGGAAACCTTTCTGTTGTCACCGTACAAAAAACAACGTGTTGAGAATTATGCAAAAATGCAATATAACAGAAATATGATAGAAATAGAAAAGCTCCAACATTCGTTAAAAATAAACCAAAAAACCAGCAGCCATGTAACCCGTCAGCCATAAGCCAAAGCCAGTAACCAGAAACCACAGCCACGCTAAGCCCGTACAAAGGGGGCATCCAAAATATCATCATGAATTAGATTTTAAAGAGGGGGTGAAGGAGTGTCTCCAATGATAATATAAAGATGCCCTTTCTTAGCTAACCAATCTGCAG